AGGTGAAACCCCAACTTCTTTGTACAGTAAAGAGTTCAGTGTTTATTATTCTTGTAATTAAAAGGCTATATTTATCGACTATAACTCATTAAATGTTTTGGTATTTCAAAAAGGATTCAAGCCTATTTCCTCTGTTATTGATTTGAATGTCTTAAATTGTTAGAGGAAATTTCAAAAAAGAAAACTTATTTTTTATGATTATTTTTTATGCTCTTACATCTACAATAATATAACAATTAATGATGATTATTGAATTTCTATAGCTTTACCCGAATGAAAAGTGCGACCATAAATAAAATTCGTATCTCAGGCATGACAAAATAAATCAATTTATTCAAAGGTTGTTTTAACATTTACATTTTTACTTAACTGTAAAGAGGCCTCTTCAACATTTATGCTAAAAGGAATTTCTGATTGAACGATAAATGCCAGCTTTGCTCTTTGGTTGGTTGATAAAGCAGGAACGGACTGTGTCCCTAGGTGCTACAGCCGAATATTGGGCTTTTAGCGCTCTTTGTTTCGTGACGTGATCCTGAACTTTCAGCGGCGAGTGAACCACCGGGCTGCTCTAGGACGTTTGTCTCCTTTGGTTGCCAATTCCTGTTTCAAAGCCGAGCTAACCGATAAATGCGTGCCAGCCACAAAGTTTACCGCATGCCTGATGTCGGATTTTGTTGGCACTAACCTACTGAGTTTTTACATGACATGGTTGTGGTACTTTAACCACAAAGAGAGGAATGAAGATATCCTGTATAGTTGAGTCCACATGTATATTATTTTATCCTGGCGCAAAAAATCTATAAGTTATTAATGAGTATTGGAACAGTTACATATTAATGAGGTTAATCCTAAGTTAGCAACGAATAAAAAGGAATTTTTGATTGTAACCTTTAGCTGTTTTAAACGTTTAAAATATTATTTTCACTTAGAAAAACAGCAAGCTGAGTTTAGGGTTCCAGATCTATCACAATCAATTATTTATTTACATGTTGTTATTCTGTAAAGACTGTATCTTTTAAAATTTTGTACAAGTGCTTTACAAGTGAAAATACCATTTCAAGACAGACACGTCAAGACATTATCTTCGTGCGCAATGCTACAATAGGTGTTACATTATCATAAATAAAAGCTATAAGTGGATTTTGTTGACTTTCAAGTAAAAGGTTTCGAACAATTCGTGCCACATGTTACAGTAATAAAAGCTGACTAGTTCATAGATTAGTTTTAAATATATGAACTAGAATAGTAGTATATATATCGTACTATTGTTGAATTAAGTATTTATATGTAGGATTATAAATTGTTTCAGTATTAAATATGAATAAATTAAAATATAACTAAAATATTACAAGTCGAAGAGATCTTTCCCTTAAAATAAAATTAACTTTCATGATCTATATTATAGTATGTTTTTCTATTTGTGCTATAATTTATAATGACTGCACATCGATACCTTTTATAGGCATTAGTATCGCATTGTCATCATTACTATGGACATATAATTATTAACATCCAATCTTAACTATTGATCAAAACAAATGTGAAAGTTCTACTTATAAACATTTGGATTATACCCTTAGTTTTTATACAGGATATATTGTTTACATTCTTGAAATAGCACAGAAGCTTTAATTTTTCTCATTAATAATTGGCTTCGTTTTCGTTACTAAAAATAAGAGAATTTCACTGGACAACCGCATCTGGAGACATGGTTCAGAGCATCAGTTTAATTAGTAACATTTTCAGGATTCAGTTTATTAAAATCACCAGAATATCACAGATCAGTTGATCTGTCAAATGTAACATTTTAAATTATCATATTTTGTTATGCATTTAAAATATCTATAATTTCTTATCAGATAACATAAGATATTAATATAACAGTGAGAGATAGCTGTTAAGCTATTTTCTTAACAAATCATTGGTTAAGCATAATTTAGTTTATCTCGTTGCCGTCTTGTAACAATCTATACTAATATGTGTTACTACGTAAAACTTGACTAATTTTACCAAGGAAACTTTTTTAGTATCGAGGCATGTTCGATCCATAGTTCATAAGGATTGAATGCAAACATAAAGTAGACAGTATCCTCTTATAATACAAAATTTATATATCAATTCTATGATGATGGATTTTTCATTTTGATAGGGTATAAATTCAACTAACATAACGAAACAGTATTAAAGCCATCGTTCATAGAACACAAAAAAAACCCAACAATTATAATTGCATATATCATAACAACTACTAGGTCTACATGTAGCTCTAGAAATAGTCTAAATGGTTTCTCTCTATTTCTCTGTTACTCCGCTTGTATTGAGTCTTAGTATTCTTAGAAATGTGGTAATTAAAGACAAACTAGTATGTAACCAATGTTTTACAGTACAAGATTTTGATTTATAATGTGTAATATACAATTATGTCCAAATTTTACATCTAAATGGGAGTTATTACATTCAAATCATTAAATAATTGGCACAAAATATTTATGATATTCAAAGCCATAAAGCCACGAAGGCACGCAGTCTTATCAATAATTCATCACTGCAGTTTTTTTTGTTTTTTTTTCTTTAATGTTGGAACTTCCTAAAACTCAATCCCTATCTGAAGGGATTTTAGAAATCCATTATAAGGGAATTTCTACATAAAGAAAGTAGACAGTTACTAGATTTAAGATTGAGATAGCTAAAACCGATTGCTTGACTGATACTCTGATTACTAAAGCTAAATTTAGTTTTAAAGGTGTTATCTGTACGTATAATTAATTAATAAATGTACATGTGTATATTAATTATTGATATAATATTAAATATACAGTACATACAACTTTCCTTTAGTACCAAAAAATATAAATTATTCAGAATATTGCAAAACTCTTGGTACATTTTTTTTTTTAATTCAATTTTAACTTAAATTATTGGAGTATAAATTTAAAGAATGATTATTCCATATTAAAAAAACCCCGTATGCATGTGTTTAGTATATAGACGCTCTTCTTTTAATTTAACAAACGATACCTGTAAATGAGTGCCATTATGCCAGGACTGTTGCGTTTAGATTTAAGTTCAACCCAAAGCAAATATTTAATATCAAACAAATAGGTTTACTCTTATTAAATTCTCTATTTATCAATACAAATATGAGTCTTACTTATTAATCAGAGACACACAGGGAATGCACGAGTCTTCCTCAATATCGTAAGTGCTTTACCCTCGGGTTGACCTTTAATCCATTAGAGTATTGAACATTGTTAGTGAACTGAGACAAAGCCACACTCCAACAGCTGAGGTACATTTTGTAGGTGTACTTTGATTTTGGATGTTAGATAACCTAAGATTCAACATTAAATTACGAACTAGTGGAAGTAGATGTTTTACACTTAAAGGAAAATAGGTAATGCAATAAAATAGGGTGTTGATTTTAATAATAATGGGCAACATGTTAACAAATTTACAGTTAAATAACCAAACGTTTGCTTCTGGTGGATTCGTGTCATGGGATGATGGTTGTACGGTCAGATGATTGTGTCAGGCTAGATGGTCATCAGTCGGGACCACGTAACTTTGCAGTTGGTAGCAGCCAATCACAAGACAAGGCTAGTGCGACGTTGCCACATCGCCCGTTGACAACACTAATAACATATACTAAGCAATATTTTCAATTCAGCTGGTACTAGTCTACCTGTTGCTCGAATTCGAGCAATTGCGAAGCATTACAGACGACTCAAAGATTATGGAAATACTCGCAATTTACACAACTGTTAGATATAATCAAAATCTTTTGTAAATATCTTATATTTTTTCAAAAAGCTGATCTTGTTTTTTTAGTGTTTTCTAAAAATGTTTTCCTCTCATAGCGGCATTAGGTTGTCTATGATAACGATTATAAATGAAAAAAAAACATTATTTCAATTTCTTCTACTTGGTTGTGTTCTATGACTTTTTCTATGTTTCCATTGTTTGTCAGTTTATTTTTAGCCTATATCAAATTGTCCAGGATTTCTCGCTCTTTTCCTTTCTAATAATTACACCAACCCAAGTTTTGTCTACAGATGCAATATGCCAACGAATATCACCTACGTACAATCTCCAAGAAGTGGTAAAAAAGGCAGAAACCAACCCACACAATAGATATAAGTTAACTAAAAAAAAATAATTTTAAGAGTTACTGCGATATCAGGATTTTCCACTGATTTGGTAATAAAACATTATATTACAAAACATGACACGGTGCAGAAGAAAATCCATTTTAAAATCAGAAAAACCCATTGAAAATATTGTACTTCATTTTGACAAATTCAATAAATCACAATTTAAATATTAACAGCTGTTTCAATAAAAAGTAGTGTAGAATTATGCATATGGTCGTAATGTAAACAAATCTGAAGAGGCAACTTTAAAGGCTTCTGGGGCAGAGCCCCAAGAGAATTTACCTCGTTCCTCTTTTGATGGCTCATCTACAAACCAAGACCTTTCTTTAGAGACTCCTACCAAGTTTTTACGCCCAGCCGTTCTCTCAAATTAGCTGTGACAAAAACTCCGTTGTCCTCCATAAGAATAACATGGGATGGGAATTCAAAGGCCACTGGGGCAGAGCCCCAAGGGAATACACCATGTTTCTCTTTTGATGGCTCATCTACAGACCAAGACCTTTCTTTAGACACCCCTCCCGAGTTTCTACGCCCAGCCGTTCTCTCAAAATAGCTGTGACAAAGAAAAACAGTTTCAAATTAATATATAGATTATTATATTTGGCAACACCGCACGGTTCTTATTGGTTCATTCAAAACCATATGGTAAATAGGCTCCTCTCTCAACTGCAAACTTACTTGGTCCCGACTGTAGAACATTACTTCAAAGAATCCGGATGAGATGTTGATTGCACTAGAGTAAACCTATAAATAGTACAGTAATCCGGTTACTCCAGCTGTAGTACTATAGCTCGCTTTGATGTGAGTCTGCAGGTTGATGAGAAGATGGTTGTAAACGAGAGAGTGAATCATAAAGTACCAGGGCCACAATAGTAGTAACTATGAAGTAAGCCGACCAGAGATGACGTTTGCCGAGCTGCACTTTCTAGCTTATTGAATCTGTATGTTATAGGATGATGAGCAGACGACTGTCACAAGCTAGTAGACCAGCCAGTGCGTCAGAGAGTGCTGGGGAGGTACAGAGCTTGGGCCCCCCTAGAAGTAGCCTGGGAGGCAGCATAGGCCTTACATTTGGACAGCAGTACCAGTGGCGTATGATGCTGTGCTGTCTAATGCCTGTCATCGTGATCATCTACACCACAGCTTCCAACATACTCAAGGGACAAATGGAGTTAGTGAGGCTCTCGAGAATAGAGGCAACGGTGAGTGGTTTTTAAAATTACCTATCAAACCTGTAAAGTATATTTTAAATTCCATACATGTATAGTTTTTACGCTGCTAAATGGTATTCTACAGATACTCGTATTGCGTCTGTGGCCTTGCCCTTACAATTATGTGAAAACAAAAATTGGTTAGTTTAATAGACTAACCTGTTTGTTGTTGATTTCTTTTGTTTTTATGAATCTAATTAAAGAGAAAATAGATTACTTAAATCCAAAGGCAAAAAAATTAATCGAGTACAATTATAACTGAATTTATGACTACTAATTCTTTCATAGATAATATTTTACATTAAGATTTTAACTATTTAAGATTTCTTTAAAATATAGAAATCCTACAAACTTTAAAAAAATCTCTTCCAGATTGTACATCTTAGAGAACTTGGAAATAGGTATTTCAAAAAAAGGAGACTAGATCAACAAAACATACGACACAAATAAGAGTTACACGTACTTAAAGAGATTGCGAGATGTTACAAAATTTTTTGGGATAGTGTCTTTGGATAATTACATCATGTATATCATACGGTGAACAAAAACCTAACCCTAAATCAAAACTCATCTAAGCTTTTCTTCAAAAAGAAAATTTGAGAAAAAATTTTAACTTATTTAGACAGTTAAATTCAACCTCGAATAATCATTAAGTACAACGAAGTTTTAAAATATTTTCTGGGTAAATGCGTGTAAATATCTTTCACGCCCAACGTATGTTCGTTATTTTATACAGGGTGTTGAAAATGTCTGGAACCAACATTATATCTCGTGAGTGGTTAAAGAAAAACAACTGATATTTTGTGTACGGATATACTATGGTTTTACCTATCTTTTAATGCCTTATGCAAATTTTTACCACTTATAGGGAACGTCCTGTGGAGGATGCAGTAAAAAGTTTAAATGGAAGCCTATGGTAAATGATACATCATTTTAAAGGCAATTTTTTTCTGAGTAAGGAGCCACAAGTTTCATCTCAAAAGGACCACCCTAGGAAAATGGCGACTGTTTGAAATTTAAAAAACCACTTATAGGGAACGGAATTTTTAAATTTCAAACAGTCGCCATTTTTGCTAGGGTGGTCCTTTTGAGATGAAACTTGTGGCTCCTTACTCAGAAAAAAATTGCCTTTAAAATGATGTATCATTTACCATAGGCTTCAAAGAAAACTTTTTACTGCATCCTCCACAGAACGTTCCCTATAAGTGGTTATTTAAATTTCAAACAGTCGCCATTTTTGCTAGAGTGGTCCTTTTGAGATGAAACTTGTGGCTCCTTACTCAGAAAAAAAATGCCTTTAAAATGATGTATCATTTACCATAGGCTTCCATTTAAACTTTTTACTGCATCCTCCACAGGACGTTCCCTATAAGTGGTAAAAATTTTCATAAGGCACCAAAAGATAGGTAAAACCATAGTATATCCGTACACAAAATATCATTTGTTTTTCTTTAACCACTCACCAGATATAATGTTGGTTCCATACATTTTCAACACCCTGTATATGCACACCATCCCCCCTTTTCTCCTACTCACTAAGCTCATGTGTTGACAGGATTAACATGTTTCCCTTTCTAATGATTATACAGCCATTAAGCCTAAGTAGCATTTTATCCACATCAGAGTATATACTTTTTGTAGCTATAATAACTCAATTACAAATTATGGAATAGGTAAAATATAAATGGATAACTAAAATGGATTGAGGTCATTTATACTATTTTGGGAACCAAGTACTCGTAAACATTAAATCATTAAAGTAGATAAGGCTAATTTGTATTATACTTAAGCTTCAACATCGCTTTGAAGCAATCTAGAACTCCCATGAAACAGGATTTTTCATATAAAACTCAAACAAATAGTCGTGTAAAAGTAACTGCCATGTCGCACGATGTCAAGGCTTAGGAAATGTAAGAAGACACGGAAAATTGTGTTCATCATTACTTTTCCGTCAAATGAGACATCGTATTAGGTCTGTCCGATTTCTACAAAACATATATCTTCTTTATCCATATTCCCTGTGCGGCAAAAACTGAATTTCAAAGTGAACATAATGTTTGTCAAATTGGGATTGCACATGGAATAACATTTAATTTTCAAGAAATTATTGCAGACATTTTTAATACGAATAGCAAAATCCTCCAAAGATGTTACTTTGAAGTTTTATCCAAACCTGTTCGCAAAATCAAATCTACATACCTATTACTTCGATTATCAACATATTTTAGGGGGTTTGCTAAATAAAACAAATGTATTTCATCTTGACACAAAGAATATTGTCAAAAAATTATCAGATTGGAGGTATAACTTATACTTAGAATAACCTAAAATAAAAGGTGTTTTTCTGATTAAAAAAGATTACAGTAGTCAGGGAAGTACATCTACCACTGCAAACTGTAGTCACAACTCCTGTTGATAAATATATTAAATGTTTACTTTGGTTTTATCATTCATTTAAACTGCAACTGCGTGATCCTGAAGACTGTTTTAAATCCAACATTTATTTACAAAAGCTATGAGTTCAAAATGACGTGATGGCAAGTATAAATAGTTCGACTCGTGCTTTAATTTTTTTTCGGTAACTAAATACATATTGTAATAGTGAGTTTTTCAGTACACAAAGAGTTACATAAAGAAGATCTCCATTTCATTGTTTTAGCGAATTTCCCATAAGGGAATAAGCTATTACCGTAGTAATCATGGTAAGACCTGGACCCGGGACCGATTTACTTTTTCGTTTTGAGGTCCCTAGAGGCCAAAAACACCATCCGTTCAAATTCATATATATATTTTTATATATGTGTCCGTTAGCGCGATAACTCGAGCAAAAATCATCCGATTTTGATGAAATATGGTACAAACGTGTAAACCTACGTTTATTCGAACGAGTTCGCGAACCAGCATGATCAGACTATGGGAACAGGGGTTTATGGGGGGTTTTATGGGGTAATAATTGGGTTTTCCAATTTTTTTACCTAAAATTTTAAAATTTATCAATTTCTTTTCAAACCAATTTGTAGAGCTTAAAAAACAAATAATTTAGTATATTGAAGCGTTATTATGCACCTAATGGTTACGGAGAAAATTCCAAAAATCTGTCAATTTAAAATTCCCATGTTATTCTTATGGAGAATGAATAAGTAAACTGTTGTAGTTTGCTTGTTTATGCACATATTTTGATCAAATTTGGAAAATGTATTCATTTCATACTAAACTATTAAAATTTTACAAAAAAACACCTTTTTACCCTCCCTGTTGCAGTAAACCTAAGTACTCGTTAAACTAATGTTATTTAAATAGGGAATAATGTGACATTTTTAAGGAGACATTTTAGTGTAAATCCGATCAGGCAAATGGAAATTCGCTTCGTCTGCAGGTTTGCTGCGGCGGGGGTATTTTTTATATAATTTTCTTCCATTGAGAATAAACAAGCAGTGATAATAATCAGCCAAAGTCATGTTTCATAGGGGGCCTAAACCTTCCACCTCATCAAACATTCATACTTCAATCACATTCGCTAATGGCTAAACATTATGGTTTGTCAGAAGTATGTTAAGCCAGGTGATGAAGGGACACATTAACATATAGGCTCTATTAAGGATTCAATTATTACTTCAAATACAATCAGCATTGAAGATAGTAGTTTAGTAATGTATACTCGCTTATCTTGATTCCAAGGAGACTGTTTACCTTAGAAAACTGATTTGGAAATCTAATTATACAGGGTGACTGCCGGGAACCGGACGAATTTGCAACAGCTGTTACATTGTTGCTACACGTGCTAGGGAGATTGAGGTTATGTCATTGTTTTGAGTGAGCTTTACCATTTTAGTCACGATGGATCAGTGGTCAGTTCAGCATCGTGTTTTTGCATATGACACATTTATTAAAAATGGCGAATCCGTTATCAAAACACAGCGTATCTTCCGACGCCACTTTAATATTGCGCGAAATGACATGGTTCCAAGGCGGAATACATTGCTAAGATGGGTGCACAAGTTCAGAACAAAAGGAACAGTATCAAAGAAAAAGCCAACCGGTCCAGCAAGAACAGTGAGAACACCAGACAACATCGCCACAGTGAGAACTGCTTTGATGAGGAGCCCGGGTCGCTCTGCACGAAGACACGCACAAGAGCTACGCATGAAGCGCGATTCTGTCAGAATAATTTTAAATTCAGATTTGAAATTTCATGCATACAAAATACAGGTGGTACAGCAACTGAAAGAGAGGGACTATGGACAAAGAGAAGATTTCGCAGTACGTATGCAGGTGTTGTTTACTGATAATCCTGATGTAATGATTTTAATGAGCGACGAAGCTCACTTCCACTTGAACGGTTCAGTGAACAAAAAAAACTTACGATATTGGGCTCCTGAAAATCTATGTAACTTTCATGAAAAACCACTCCACTCTCCAAAAGTAACGGTTTGGTGTGCTGTAGGCCACTTTGGGATAATTGGTCCGTATTTTTTTGAGGAAAATAGAGTCACAGTGACAGTGAATTCTGCACGCTATGTTCACATGTTAGAAACATATCTCAAGCCACAACTTAGGGGGCGAGGAATAAACGTGAAAAATGTTTACTTCCAACAATGATGGGGCCACAGCGCATACTGCCGCTGCATCGATGCGAGTTGTGAAGAAGATGTTCCCTGGCAAGTTGATTCGTTTTGGTGACGTGCCGTGGCCGCCAAGGTCACCAGATTTGTCGCCCTGTGACTATTTATTATGGGGGTATTTGAAAGCTCGGGTACATGTTCACAAACCACGAACATTATTGCAGCTAAAAGATGCAATCACCGAAGAGGTGAATTTGATTGGACAAGACATGTTGATGAGAGTGCGTAATGATTTTCTACAGAGGTTGGAAACCTGTATCCAGGTTAACGGCCATCACGTGCATGATATCATCTTTAAGAAATAAACCCAAACTAGGATAAAAGGTTCCATAAACATATGTTTTTTGAAATGGTATGTTTTCACCAATA